CATTGAGATAGGAAAATACTTCGCCATGTAGTTGACAAAGTAAAATTTACATCTATAGATTTAAGGAATTTAACTTTTTTTGATAAAGTAATATTCACATGTTCTATCAAATGTCTCCTTCTAAATAATGTCAAAAAAAAAATGTCTCCTTCTAAATAATAAAAAAAATATTGTGGATACACAATAGGGACAGTCCTCCCACTTCCTACCAAATTGGTGAAAATTTTTGTGGTTGAGAGGTCTTGAATTTAAGACTTTTTCACTCTCCACATAAATGAGAAAACCAAACAAATCACACATCATTAATATGTGAGATTTTCAATGCTATGTTTGAGAAAATAATAACATTGTAATAAATATTATATATTTTAAATTTTATATATACAACTTAAGACAATAACTAAAAGTATATACTTTTGAAATTGAAGCAAGACCCCCAAAATAAATAAATAAATTGAATCAACCTCAAAGAGGGAAATAGGTAGGGAGATCTAGAGGGCGTTAGGTTGAGCTAATTCATATCTAGCGGCTAAATTGTGTAAGTGTTTAGTAAACTTTTTAATAGCAGTTGATAGTTAATGGAAGTCTCAAATAGTTGTTGACTCCATTAGTTGGTATCTTTTTACATTATATTTGAACTTTATTAACCTCATAAAAATAATTAATAGTCATTTTATATTTTAATAGCACTAACTACTAAAATTTTACCAAATATCAATATTCATCGGCTAACAACTATCAACTATTAGCGAACAATTATCAGTAACTGATATCAGCTATCAGTTGATTCATGCAGCTGATAGTTGATTTGTACCAAACAATTAGGTTGTTGGTGTTTGGTGATCTTTTTAATCAGTAGCTAATAGCTGATAGAAATCTCAATCAAATATATGTACGCAAAACAATTAGGTTGTTGGTTTTTGGTGATCTTTTTAAATCAGTAGCTTATAGCTGATAGAAATCTCAAATAAATATATATATATATATATATATAATATATATATATTAATTTTTATAAAAATTATATATATATATATATATATATATATATATATATATATATATATGTAAATGTGAAAATAAGGGAGAGCAATGAGATTTTCGATGTCGCCCTTGATGAAATTTGAAATGTTCTATAATAGCCTTAGTTATAGCCAATTAAAAAATTACATTTTATTAGTTGATTGAATATAATTTATTAAAATTATTTTTAATCGTTTTTTTAATATTACAAAAACCGCGTGTAAGATAAAGACAACATGTGTGAACATGAATATTCAACATGCAAATATGAATATGAATATGCACCCAATCGAAAGTTAAATAGCAACATATTTAAATGTACTTGTAATATTTGGTATAAATTAATAACAAATACTTTCTCATATGAAATGTTAACTAATATTTATTGACAATTTGAGATTTTAAATTTCAGTTTATACATAATGGTAAATATGCTATCGTTATCAATAATAAATTTCATATTATTTTTTGCCACTTGTGTATATTACTAAATTTTTTCATCTCAAAACCCAAGTAAAAGTCTCGCTAACAAAAATTTTCATTCCATAGAAGAGATAATCTATCTATACTATATATAAAACTGGGAATGAGGGGGGAATAATAGGATTACCAATATTGTCCTTATGAAATTTAAGATATCCTAAATTAACATTAATCTTAGCCAATTAAAAATTTTAATCTAAAAATATATATAATTTTTATCTAAAAATAATATATAATGTTCTATAAATTGAATTGGATTTTTTTTTTCACTTTTTAATAATATAAAATAAGGTAATTAAGCATTTTCAAACTTTAAATTTTTACTATTATTAATTTTATGTCTAATTATATTATATTTCATTATATTATTATGCACACTATTAATCAATAATTTTTATTTTCACATTTATCATTATTATAATTTATAATTTCAGCTTCAAAAATTATTATTTTAAATAATATTGTAAATATGAAGGCATTTAAAAATTTTACATTTTTTTGAATTTATTTTAAATCAATATAACTCTAGATGATTCAAATTTGGATTTTAAAGGGTATGGTTAAATTTCTTTAATTACAAATTGCACTTTAATTTTGTTGGCCAAAAAATAAGATAAAAAATTATTATTTTTAAACATCAGGAATTTGGTTAATTATATTGATATTTTATTTAATTCGAATCATATTCTTTCTGTTAAGGAATATAATTTTATTAATAAATTTTTAAATGATTTCATGATTTTGATTAGATAAAAAAATAAAAATAAAAATTACTATTATTTATAATATTTAATTTGTTTTATTATATTATATAAATATTTAATTTGACTTATTAGATTGGTTTCTTATTCTATTGTTAAAGTATATTTATTTACTATAAGAAATTATAGTGAAAGTTATTAACAAAACATGTAATTAATTATAAAACTTATAATAGAAGCTATATGATGATTTTTATAGATCAATTTAGTTTTTCTTTAAAAAAGAAAATAAAAGCAACTAACATACAAGAAAAACTGCATGAATCAGTACATTGACATAGAATAAAAATATATATATTTACTATATCTATAAAGTGTAATGTATTTCAAAGACTCAAACTAAATAAGAATTTATACTTTAATATCGTATAAATAAATAATTAAACGAGCGTAAAAAATGAGCATATAACAAGAATAGTCAAAGTATAACGCACGTCATGAAAAAGATTTATAAAATAAAATATCTTTATGAGTTATGTTCCTTATGATTTATTTTTACCATTTAGCATGCAATTACTTGCACCATCTAACATCCATATTTTGAATATTAATAAAATAAGCATCATTATCAAATCAGCATACTGAAAAAAGTACAACTAAGATTAAAATTATGATTTCACATATAAATAAATATATTATATATACCTTTTAATAATATCTTTTTATGATATGATAGGATATATTTTTTAAAAAATAAATTTATAAATAGAATATACATAATATTTTATTTATATTTATTTAGAGAATAGATAAAAATATATATATATATATTAATATTTTTATTTTTGCATGAACCTCTGATTGAATATATTTTTAACTTTTTTACTTTTCAGAATTTTGTTTTACCCCAATTAAAATCAAAACATATGTGTAAGATCACGAACAATTTAAAATTTTAATTTCAAAAATATATAATACTTTATTATATATTAATATCTATATATATTAAAAATCTTTTTTGTAAACTTTTTTGTTAGGTGAGTTTTGAAAAGGGTATTATTTTTAATTATATTTTTTTATTTTTTATTTTTATTTCTTTTTCGTTACTAAATAATTTGTAAGTATTATCATTTTTAAGCATTTCAAAAATTTTAAATTTATATTTTTAAATTTATTTCTAATAAATATATATGATAAGGAGATATTTAAAATTTTTTATTTTTTTCAAATATTTGATTATATTTTATTTATAATTTAAAATATTTTATTTTTATCATGACCCGAAACCATAGGCCGGACCGACACTAGAGTCTAAATAAGCTTAATCCTCTCGAAGCCGTAGTAAGCCTCAACCATCAAAAGTCAACTATCTCAATATGATTTCCAATTACTGAGCCCAATATTATCATGCACAAAAATTAATTATCTTATACTTCCATCATTCTTTGGCCCAAATTTAACATCTCAACACTTCATAAATCGAGCCCAATCTGTACTACATTACTTTCATAATATGGGTTCATGAATTATCCTATCTTATTACATGACTAGTGGTGCATATGACCTAAACTGCGGAGTTCAATAACAGATGTATACTGATAAGTTTTTATACATTTATCTATTTAATGAATTAATACTAAAATTAGAGAATTCTTTTCTAGCAGTGAAGGAAGCAGAGCTTTAGCTGGGATTTATAAAAAGCTACTTGAAAGATTAAATAAAAGAGATGTGAGTTTATTAATGAATAGTAATTATTGCACAATACATGCATTCACATGAATGTGTAAATAATTAAATCTAGTCATCCAATTAGTTATATGATCACGCGAACAATCACACAAATGGCATAATAACAGCACTCACAATTATTAACATCTTCACATAATCACATTAAATGGAAATTAGTCTATGGCATCACCGAAATCTCCGATGAGCCGTCCTCTCACATGGCCCATCCTCTCATGACGTGTGTACCAGGGAGCTGATCCCCCATACAAGGCCGACCGATCTAATCCTCACTTGATCAGCTCTCTCAATTTTTTTTTACACTCTCTTTTCTTTTCCATACCAACAGAAGGCCACCCTGTGGTTTTCAGCTCTCTCAATTTTTTTTTACACTCTCTTTTCTTTTCCATACCAACAGAAGGCCACCCTGTGGTTTTCCATAAAATCCATATCATCAGGTGCACACGGAGGCGACGACCTCCTCATACATGGCTGACAGTATCGAAGACCGCCCTCACAAACTCATGGTGACCCACTTCATCCAACTCCACACAAACAAGGCATAGCAAAGTCACAACACAAATAATCAAACAATGCAAGTATATCAATCAATTAAATATCATAACGTAAATACATAATTAGACATTCATAATCAAATACAAATAAATACACGGGTATTAATTAACAATATAATATAATTGATTCTTGAAAAATAAATAAATAAATAAGTAATAAAAATAAAAATAAATAAAAGGGCTTATTTTATTTTAAATATATCTAGTTAAAGAATTAATCTAAATAAACCTATTAACTTAATTATTAATTATGACTAGCTTAGATTCCATCGAAATTTCAGCAGAATCTACCCTAAAACTTTACTAAACCACAATTCTCCAGCACATCCATCGTGCAATCAATCAAACTAAATTTCCATCCTCCTTCAATAGCAATATCACCATCCAACCCAAAATTACAATTTAAAATGACCTTCAATTTACAACTTAAAATAATCTCACAACTTATTCCGACAATATTATCAATAGTTCTTTGCTGCTCAAGTTATAAGCGATGTCTTTGAACATTATCATTAGCCATTTGCTATTTACACGTACATATCTTTAACTATAGCTTACTATCTAAGGTTAGGCAAATAAATAAGTATCAATTAAATGTCAGCTATAATTGTCATCTCAATATCAAATTTTCTAATTATAACTAATGTTCATGAAATTATATTTAACAATATTCTAAATTAATTTTGCGTCTTACATTATCCCACTAGCTAATTCCTAGCACAAATTATATCTAATTAATTATTTATTCGAATTCAATTTAATCAACTATTAGTCTTATATTTAAAATTTATGCTAAAATAGTAAAATAGGTCTTAGGTCGTACAGATCGAAAATCGAACCACGTTTCCATGATTAAGGAATCCGCCTCTTGGGACCTGTTGGAGTGTCGCCGGCCGGTCGCCGAACCGACGTCGCCGCCACTGTACACGGTGTCCGGGAAATCAAATATACCCGGAACCAAGTACTTTTCACACCATCTGACTCGATTTGCTGTCAGAAGCCCGTTTCTGTTGGTTGCGTAAGATTGGTCCTCCATCTGGCCGGAGCAAGCTTGGTTGTTGCTGTGCTGACCGGAACAAACAGAGAGAGGAGGAGAAGAGTTACGCCATTGGGGAAGTGCTGGAGCCGCCGACTGCGACGGAATCGACGGAAAACCAGTGGAGGCGCTGCTGCGCCGTTCGCAAACGAAGGGCCGCGGCTTGCCTGGCTACTGCGTTCTCCAGAAACGAGAACCGAAAGAGGAGAGGCGCTACAGAACGATGGTGGCGCGATGGAGGAGGAGGTTCGGTCGGCTCAGGTGGCGGGAAACGGAAACGGAAGAGGAAGAGAGAGGCATGGCGCTGGTGGTGGTGGCGTGCGTGCTGGCGCTGGCCAAGAGAAGAGAAGAAGAGGAGAAGAGAAAAAGAAAGAAAGGTTCCAGAATTTTCTGAGCTATTCCAGTTCGACTCAAACCGGTTTGGCTCAATTCAATGATTTGGCTCAATTTTATTTGGTTTTCAAATTTTTCACTTGATTTTTGAAAAATCAAAGCTGATTTACTGCTTCGGTTTAGTGATAATAAAATATTTTTCCGTTGATTTTTATTGGTTTTTATGATTCTATTTTTAAATGAAAAATTTTCAAAAAAGATTTTTCGGGTCATTTCAATCTCCCCTTATAAAAATTCGTCCTTAAATTTTTGAAGTAGACAAGAGATAAAAATGCATCTGGAAAAGAAAGCGTATAACAAAGGATAAATCATTGTAATGTATACTAGATATCCTAAGCCGGATTACACGCAGGTCATCCATACTAGATATCCTAAGCCGGATTACACGCAAGTCATCCAGGTAAAAGAACTGAGATAAAACACGAATATTAGATAAGTATATGAGAACCTACAAAGAAAAACTGGATGGATATAGATGGATTTACTAGATATCCTAAGCCGGATTACACGCAAGTCATCCAGGTAAAAGAACTGAGATAAAACACGAATATTAGATAAGTATATGAGAACCTACAAAGAAAAACTGGATGGATATAGATGGATTCCTGTAGCAAGATTCAAGGAAGTCGAATATTTATAGTGTAGGAAATTCATAATCCTGAAATAACTGGTGGAAAGGCATTAAGGAAACCAAAACTTCCTCCTCTAACAGTCTTACTGAGGGTTTCAATAACAACGCATTTAGAACAAAATTTGTTCGACTACTTATCGTCACTTAGCTAAACTTAAACTGATTATTTTATCTTCCAATTGCCTGATTACTTTATCTCCCAATTGCTATCATCAGTCAGCTACTGAAATCTTTAAAAAATCTTTTTTTGGTAAAAATTTTACAAATAAATCAGGTTTAGCATTAAAATGCATAAAATATTATTTTTTTTTTCTCAAGATTATGTAATTCCATTTAAAAATTTACATTTTTTATTAAGCATTTCTTCGTAAAAACCAAAAACATAGTTTACAAAAAGCAAAACAATTAAAAATTAACTCATTTAATTTACATATGTTATTACTAAAACTTTTCTTAATCAAAAGTTTGAAAACTATTACTTTAATCCAAAATTTTAAGAAAAAAATATCATCTTATAACTTTCATTGTCTATAGTATCATTGGGCGCTTTGAGCTTACTCTCTTGGTTCTATCTATACAAGTCTTATTTTTCCTATAATATTCCTACCATATACCAGTTCAACTATCGGACACCTCTTGGACTAAAGGATCTCACTACACTCTATAACTATCTTACCTCTACAGAAATTTTAATGCTTTCTACATAACCATCAATCTCTCTCTAATACTTATTCCTTAAATTACCTTAATTACTTATCTCAAAAAAAAAAAAAAATTGACTTTCATAATAACACCTTTTGCCAATTCACCTTTCAGCTCTCTTAACTCTTTTCTTTTTCATAACTTTTCATTAGACCTATGTTGCTTATTAGCTCATCCTAAAGATATTAAAATACTCTTATTAATTATTTCATTCTCTTGGTTTCTTTTGTACTACTAATCATCATTGTTCATGATTTATCTAATCACCAATATTTTAATCTAATTTTTTTTAACTAATACCCATCAATACTAAGGTCTTCAATAAAATTTCTTAAGTCCCGACCTAATACCTAATGTTATCTTACCACCCCAATATCACATCAAATCAATCTCAATAGCTGCTTATTACCTAATTTATATATACTATTAACTTCTCACTTTTCTGTCCATATCCTGGACTAGAATTTTCCAGACTATAGCCTTTTTGAAATTATATTAACGTAACTGTATTAAATAAGTTTGATTTTAATCAACTTCTACAGATTGAACTACTAATATTTATATTGTAATTATTTGAAAACAACAATTATCATGAATTTTGATTGGCTAATAAATAAATAAATAAATTATTATTTTAAGAAATTTGTAATTTAATTGGTAAAGGACTTATAACAACTTAATTGTACAATAATTACTAACCCTAATACCGTTGTATGCATAAGCATTTAAGGTATGAATTATTTTTTCGTAATTTTTTATCTTCTTCATGTTTGATAGAATAAATAGAATTATCTTTTTAATACAGAGGAAGAAAAAGGCTATTGGCAAGGAGGTGAAATTGTATTTGGTGGTATGGACACAAAAAGGCTATTGGCAGGTTGGCTGGTCATTACCTGTTCAATGGTTGCGCTTAATAAATGTTGCCAATGTATCCTTTAATTATTTTCTAATTTTGTTTAATTATGCCTTTATATATATATATAGCTTGAAATGTGTGATATTCTTATTGGTGGCAAACCAACCGGCATGTTTTTAATATTATTATATTATATTCTACACCCTAATTGATTTTGAATTTAGAGTGACAATATGTATAATATTTTAAGTTGGTGTGTAAAGGGGATGAATGTCAATTTAATGTGTCATTGCAACAAGTTACAAAACTCGAGGTATTTTTATAGGTTAGACCATATATTTATAGTCTATAATCTATAATATATATTAAAATATAGATAACACTGGCTTTTTAAAATGTCTATGCTAAGTTTATAGATTGATAAAAATATCATTGATGACTTTAGTTTTATTAGTTGAAAAATAAAAATAGTTTAATTTTGATTGGTTATGTAAGTTTTCTATTTGAATTTAAATTTTATTAGAAAGTTTAATCTAAATTTTTATTACCTTAAAAATTTTCATTATATTTTTTCACTATTTTGCGAACATATTTAATGCATAATTCATCATCATAATAAGAATTCTTTTATCTATGCAAGAAATGAAAGAATAATTAGATGGATAAAAGTAAAAAATTAATATTAAATTTAATTAAAAAGATTAATATTTATTATATTGGTAATGTTCATTGAAATGCTTGAAAGTTGAAACTAAAAAATAAAAGAGACGCAAATATTTAAAAGTTATTGCATAGTTTTAGTTGAAAATTTTATTATACTTTAATTTTAATATTATATCTATTATTATAATCTTAAAGGATAAATATTTAAAGTATAACTCAATTGGATATTTAGTCTATCAAATAATTATATTTTCTTTGAATACTATTGAGAATTCCTTTACTTTTATTATCAATACTTCGATGAAGACTTTGTATCGTGAAGAGTTTCTTTTCTATTAAGGATATTGAAGACTTCTTATTAATGATTAATGGTACTAATTTTAATTTTTGATATTTTTTATTTTGGGACACTATCAGAAAATTTTGTTTGAATTTGATTACCAAAAATTTTTGTATATACTTATTTTTATATGGGGCGAGACCTCGGATCAACTGTTTATGATTATTTATTTTTAACTTTATAACTATTTCATTGTGTGAAAAAAGTCTCTATCGTAAAAAAATTATTAAAAATTTTTATCAAATACAAGATATGTACAGTGGTGGTTTGCACCAATTTTTATATATGTGATAATTATGACTAAAAATATTGAATTTCTATATTGTCATTGAAAAAATAATAAAAAATTATAATTAGAAGCAATTGTTCAAACGAGTATACTCAACGAATGACAACGTGTATCGCATGTTTTTGAATGCTAATGTGTGTGTCTATATATATATATATATATGGGATTGGCATGGGGAACTTCCGCCAGTTCTGGAGCTAGAGGGTTCTTAATGACCTCCCTCTCGCGAGACTCTGTACATATAAAGGCGTAGTATAATGGTAAGTGCATATATGATTTGAAAATTGATTTAGGTTCGAATTTCCCTACTCTAATACTCAAAAAAATTTAAAAAAAATTGAGTGAGTCTCCATTAAAAGTATAATTGTTTATATAAAAAATTTAAGAAAAATTGGAGTGAGTCCCATTAAAAAGTAAATTGTTTATATATATATATATATATATATATTATTATATATTATATAGACACACATTATCAAATAGATTCAATTGAAATAAGAAATGCAATATCGTGAAATATAGACACACATTATCAAATAGATTCAATTGAAATAAGAAATGCAATATCGTGAGGTCATATGTTAACAGCAATCAAAAGCAACTTTTTTTTTTTTTTATTAGGTGCTATTCGATTTATATTTATATTTTATTTGAACTTCTTTTTATCTCATAAAAATAATTATTGATAAAATAAATTTTTTCATATTAATATTTTTTATCATTTTATTTAAAATTATTTTTAAAAGAATAATTTTCTCTTAAATATTATCATATTAATATTTCGTTTTAAGAGCATTTAGAAGGAATTAATAAACTTTTTTTCAAATTAACCTTATTTATATTAAATACAATAACTATTTTTATAATTTTTTAAAGTGTAATTTAATAAAATTAAATAAATTTTTTTATTATAATTTAGAGAAATTAAATTGTTTCATTAATCATTGTATAACAACATTAAATGATTTGGAAATGATACAAATATATGCATTTGTGCTCCGTATGATACAACCTTAGCATCATGGTTAATCAAATGGAGCACAAATGCATATATTTCAGTGTTACATTAGCACGCAAAATCGAAACTACATTTGATAAAAGTGAAATGATAAAATATAATTCAATTATGAAAATTAGTGTAAGGAAAATAATAATTTAGTCTCTAAAGTTTGACAAAATTAATCGCTTCATCTTATAATTTGGTAAAATTATAATGACATCTTTGCTTCCATCTAATTATATAGTCCTTCCGTAAAAAAATATTGATTTTTCCATTACCTTATTATAAAAAGAATAAAATACCCATGTTTTGGACCAACACCTATCTTTAATTTTGTATTTTTTTTTTCTATTTTGGGATCCACACCCATAGTAATTTAGAGAAAAAAATTTTTTTTTTTTTTTTTTTTCATTTTGGAACCCACACCAACAATGGCAAATCCTATTACGTGGTGCAAGCTCTCATTTCACTGATTCTGAACTTTTTGGCATTGGTATTATTTTGTATCCAGACTCTGTCACATATCCAACTGGTCCTCTTCCTCAAGGACCATCCCTAACGGATTATGGCTTCTCCTCAAATCAAGCCCGTTCAATGAGGTACTAAGAACAATATATGCATATCCCTAATTAAAAAATGAAACATTAATTAATTAAATTTGTAAATTATTTTCTTTATCAGGTGGGACTTAGGAGTAGAAGCTGCTAGGCCAAATCCTCAAGGTTCTTATCACCATGGAAGTATAAATGTGTCACGGACATTAGTGCTTGAAAATGCCGTTATGTTTGATAGAAAGTAAATAGTGTATACTACCAATGGAGTCTCAAATGTGTATCTAAACACACCAGAAAAATTATTAGATCATTTTCGGACCAACGATGTGGTTAAGCCTACACTCATTTTTGAGAGACCATATCCTAGCAATCTCCTATTGCAAGGCATATCAATATTCCAGGACATATTACTAAGGTTGGAGATGTTATCTAGAGATTGGCAACAATGAGAATAGAGGAGACAGATGGAGAGGGAAAGAATGGTGTATAATTATAGTTTTAAATACTAAAATATAATATAAAATCTGATGTTAAATTAAACAAGGTACATGATATAATGTCAAGTTATATTTTCTTTTTCTTTTTTTTTTTTTTTCACAATGCACACCTATCTTATATCAGACAATATACAGATGTCAATAAGTGGGTTTACCTGAAAAATAATTAGACTTGCATGTATCAGTTCTCATAAAGCACATGTGCTGCATAAGTCTTGACTAGGATATATAACACTCTATATACAGCTTGCCAGGCTGCTATAACTAAAAATTGCCTATGTTGCTTTAGTTCTTGAAAAATAATGGGCTATGGTCGAACCACGTTTAACTACAGTGGGCCGCTTATGAGGGCGAAGCCAAACCCGAATTTCATTTTGGATTTCTGGCGGTAACTCATCAATCACGGATGGATCAATCTCATCAATCTTGTAATTCCATGCTTCCCTCTGTAAATTCTGACTTGAACTGTGTCTGTCACCATTTGTCCTGCAATCTGCAAGAAGACCAGGTTTTTAAAGAAAGGAATTAGAAGAAGAAATAAAATAAAAAAGAATTTAAAAATAGAAATAATAAAATATGTGAAATATTAAGTTGATAGCTGATCAAAACATGAGAACTGCTCATTTCTTAGCAATTAGCGAGTAACATAATGGATAAAAATTCGGTTACAAAATGACCAAAATTTTAAAAAACATGAATCTCCTTTAGCAGCTCCACTTGGTTTTGTTTTGAATCTAAATTCAACTCTGGGTAAGAAGAAGAAATTAGATAAAAGTAGAAAGTAGAAATGGGATTTCAAGATAACCGCAGATGAAGAAACTTTAGTACCTTTAACCATGTCAACGTTTTCAGATTTTGGTGAAGAGTAAGTGGGATTACCACTCTTGAAAAACTGGAAGATTGTGCCCTGTTATAAAATAATAAAAGAAACCGAAGAGATAAAAAACATATTAGGAAGAATGGATATACACATGGTATGGAACTAAATTATCCGAGCAGTAGAACTAAATTAATGCAAACTTTACAGAAGCACAAAAATAAATTTGCAAACTTAACAAACAAAGCACACTTACATAGAAATCACAAAATAAATAGACATGTAGGTAAAAGTAACTCTAATAGTGCATATGATAGCAAACCTGATAAAGGAAAAGTTTTGGAAGTATTACAGTTATGCCTAATGATTTTACCAGCCAATTAAAGCGAGAAATTGAGTTAGAAGGCAAAATCAGCTGTGTGAGCAAGTGTAACAATTTACCTTGACTTTCGAAGCATTTGCTTTCTGTTCTGGTTGTTCCAAGCTAGGCAATATAACCCTAGGGTCATCCCTAGAGAAACATCCCTGTGAGTCACTTCGGTTTACTCCTGGGCAACTTTCACTCCCTGAATGAACACTTAACCTTGATTACAATTTGGAACACAAATTTAAAGGTCACTGGAGGAAACATAAGCTATTCCCATTACAATGAGATTACACCTGAGGGCAATGGAACACAAATTTAAAGGTCACTGGAGGAAACATAAGCTATTCCCATTACAATGAGATTACACCTGAGGGCAACAGTTGTGAAGTTTCTGTGGCAAAACCATCTTTTGTTTGTTTGAGTGAAGAGCAAAATAAATCCTGTAAATGTCAGAACCACATATTTTAGACATTTATTAACATTCAGAATATGGAGGAAAAAAGTGAATAAAGTTTCTTCTTTGATCTTGCATTAATTTGTTCACACCAGTTCTCATTTTCAAATTAAATGAGATAAACGAAGGATATCACTCTTAAGAAGTTGGAATTGGTGAAAGACTTATTACTGGCTTTCATATATAC